GTAACATTTTACTATACTGGTTTCTGCTGGTAACGCCTTCTACTGGTTTATTCAAAAAGTTAGTCAGCAATATTTTTCAAGAGATAGTTGATTTTCAAGAAACCATCAGCCGATGATGATGGAATAAGTAGAAACAAAAGTTTTAAATATAGTTTTGTTCGATCATTTATGATTAACCTGTTATGACGTCATAATCTCTAGTTTTATTATCACGCAGATTGTCTTGAAACGGTAGTTCGTTAATAGAGAAAAAGACGATACAACAAAGTCATCTTTAGTCGATAATATTTTTAATAAATCATTGGTGTACTATTGGAACAAATGCGGTGGTGCCGTGCTGTCTCGTTGAGCTTCGAACCACATGGAGGTGCCAGGTTCTAATAACGACACAAAAACCAAAATTTGTTTTGACCACAAATTCCCTTGAGCAAGGAACGCACTCGATGTTGTTTTGCTACAACCGGCCGAGATACAGGTGCCAAGTCGTTGTGACTTGCGAACAGTGAGGACTTCATAGTGTTCTCATGTGATCGATCATAGTAGAATGGCTAAAAGAACGGGTACGTCGTCTGATACGAGAGCTTCTTAACACTGCAGTTTGCCGATTTTCTTGATCCACCTAATAGTTGACTGTTCGGTACACAAACACAAGGAGGCTCCTCCCCCCGCAGTGGTTAGTTTCGCGGATACCGCCAACTAGAATAGCATATGCGAGCCACTTCTTTGGATTAATCGCATTGCTTGGTACTTGGATGTGATTCGAGAAAACTTTTAGACTACACGACTACATATTAAATCTGTGTAGTTGCTCGGCTACCACAGTCTGTTAAGTTAGTTACAGTAAACGTGACGGTCAGTCAATTTCGACGATTGCTTGTCATTTCTAGTCGCGGATTCAGACGCTCCAGCGTTTGAGCTTCGGCAGAAGATGACTTGAATTTGCAGCAAAGTCCTTCGAAACACTTGCCGTCGCAAACATGATAGTTGCGGACGAGATTACCTGTTGTTTACTGCCTCGAACTGAGGTTGGCGGAAGTAGGAGACGTCACGGCACCTTCGCCCGTAGCATGTTTCATTCGCGATCGTCTGTTCTCTCCGATTGTCTGCTCGGCAATGACCTGTCATCTTCAACGCAAATAAACAGTCATGCGTTTAGGAGCTCGTCGAAAACCTGTTTCCATGGTCGTTACGGCATTTCTTCGTACGTGACAGACGAACGAACGAACGAAGCGAATGCGGGTGACATCCCGAAGCGCTACCTTTCCTTAGCCTTCATAAAGTCGCATTTAAATTGAGCATTTACAATCAGTCTTATCCTATTACCCGTCGTATCTGCGTAAAGCTGAATTCGCTCTGTCTTCGTTACGTTTCAGCCTTAAAGCATCATTTACGACATCGGTTTCGTAATAGGTTTAACCTCAACTAAGCCAACCACGAGAAGACAGATCTGAGGTGCTGTGCAGTTATGAGTATAAACGAGCTGCGATAAGATGAATGACAAAAGTTTCAGCGTTTCAATTCCATGTGTACAATAGCGATCTGACCATGAATCACTTGATACTGACAGTGTAGCAGTGATTGATCGCGAAACCTGTTGATTTGTCATGAAGTATGAGGCAAACGGAGCTTGAGCAGCGGAATAACCTTGACTTATGATGCCTGACCGTTACAGACGGTACTTCAATTTGATGTTGACAATGCTTACTGGTGAATCAAAGGATATAATTTTCTTCCTGAGCAATTCAGCCTCACAGAGAAGATTGCAGGTTTTGTATTTTCTTCCTATAAGACAGCAGTCAATATGTTTTGAAAACTTTTCAATTCTCTTTTTGGGCCAGACAAAGCGCTGTACTCTGGCTTCAGCAAATCAAGCACCAGCAACCAGTTGTCAGGGGAGCGTTGCACGTATTAACAGATCACACAATAACGGTGTAATGATTACGGCATGTTTGACTTTACATTTTAAGGCATTGGAACTACGCCGCTTTCTCAGCGAACCGCCTTCTAGATTCCTTGCTGTAAGAAACGTATATTTTATTGTACCTGAGCTTTCGTTTCACCATAATGATGAATTGTCTGACATCCCCATCTCCTCCAAGACCGGATTTCACGCCGTATTGCACTGCCACTTGCTCATGGCTGCCTGTGGGTCATATGAGAAGTTCAGTCGGGCAGTTGCAGTGCCAGATTCATCTCGCATCATTTTTTCTGCTATAGTCAAAATGTGTTGTACGGTTGAAGAATTGATAGCAAAAATTTCTTTATTATTCATGTCATGATTTACAGCAGCATTATTTCGAAATCTGTCACAAATTGACTAACAGTTAACCGTAGTTATAATAGTACCGTTGGGACCTCCAGTGACGAAGACGATAAAAAAGATGATTATTTCTGTCTTATTTTATTGTCCTGTTTTATGTTAATAGATTTTGAGAAATCTAACGCAGTGCACATATTAATGAAATAATAGTAAACGTCATCCACCGTTCAGAAGGATATAGCAAGATTCCATCGCTGAATGGATATTAAACCAACGATGCCACCCACCAGCTTGACAGACTTAACAGCCCCCCCCTCTACGTTCGGATTCCGCTGCACGAGCAAACGGAGAAACTTGATCATCCCAAAAGCAAGAATTGAGATGTACAGAAAATCAGTGGTACCGCACTTAATCCATACCTCATGAATCCTGCTGCATTAAAGTTTCGTCTTCTGCTTTCTATAGGCATTCCGTAATAATTACCCGTAATAATTGCTGCTGTAACGCTGTGTATATGCAAATGCTGAAATCAAGTATTTTCCTCCGTGGCATTAATAAATACTGAAATTCT